AATGATGACCTCGGGAATGAAGTTCCTAGGGACGAAGGTGTACAGGAGCCCTCCACTCCTCCAAACGTGGCCACGCTGAACTATGGTCAGATGCCGGCCTTCATCAGTGCGATGGACCAAGATTCCATAGCCGAAGTGATCCGCAAGTACCCGTGGAGGAGGGATTACAGTGTCTACCTGCCGCGCCCACATCAGTCCGCCGCTCTGCCTCCAAAGGGTAGGGTAGCTATCTACATAGAACAGCTGGAGGCCGGACTCAGGGTGCCCACCACAAGGTTTCTTCGGGACTGCCTGAGGTACTGGGGGGTGAGGATTACTCAGCTCACCCCAAATGCAATTCGTATCCTTGTCGGTTTCCAGCTACTCTGCCAACATCAAGAGATAGAGCCGAACGTGAACCTCTTCCGCCGTTGTTATTCACTCAAGAACAGTGGGAACGAGAAGGGGTGGTTCTACTTCGGGAACAAGGTTCCCAAGTTGGTATATGATGCCCCGAGCTCAATAAAGGAGTGGAAGAATAACTTCTTCTTCGTCCCGGCTGAGGACTTCCCCAGGGGATTCTGGTGGAGACCTCCCACTTCGGTCAAAGAAACCTCCCCGGGCAAATTGGAAGAACGTAACTTCCAAAAGTTGACGGGGTCGGGCCTGAAGATTAACTGTTGGGACTTCCCTGAAAGGGTGCTCGTGGAGGGCGAGCTCAGCCGAGCCTTGATCAGCTCGGATCACACCATCCTCATTTCTACTAGGCTAAAAATACCTTGTAATTTTCCATTCCCCTCCTTTGTTTATTCTTCTTGAATTCTAACTGACTCTATTTCATTCTTTGCAGTGGTGAAGGTTTCCGACCTGATTACCTCGGGAGAGGTCGAGGTGGCGAAGAGGCCAGCAAAAAAGCGCAAGGACGCTGGTGAGTCCTCTTCCAGGCCGGTCAAGAAGACCACCGCGGCGGCAGTCACTCACGACCCTGCCGTGGTGATCATAGGCGAAGGGTCGCACACCTTGGGCACGCCGGGGAGGTCCAAAGCGTCCATTCCAGTGGGAGTTTCATCCCATGGAGTAACAATAGCCTCTCAACCTCGGGGCCGAGGTCGAGGTGCGACCGTTGTCCAGGGTGACTCCATCTCGGGGAACTCATTATTCAACCTCCACCACGTGCCCTCTCTAGCAGCCGGGGAGGACAAGAGGCACTCCGGGGCACAATTTTGCCCGGAGTGGTCGGTCAATGTCAATGACCGCTGCAAGAATCCCCTGGTCGCGCACGAGCTCCTGGTGAATTCAGTCCTGCCACAGGACAATACTTACACCAGAAAACTCAATCTGGCCGAGCTGATGCAGGGCGCCTCGGTTTCTTGGGCTTCCACCACGGCGTTCCTCGCTGAGATGTACCAACGCTTCGGTGACTTCGTAGAGACTTACGAATCACCTGCCGAGCTCCAGAAGAAGATCGCCGATCTGGAAGGGAAACTAAAGGCCGCCGAGCTGGCACGTGACAAGGCCGAGGCGGCGAAGAAGCAGGCCGAGGTCTCGAACAACTCCCTCATAACTGCTCTTGATGAGGAGAGGGAGAAGAGAGCTCAGGAAGAGCAATCATCCAAAGTGGCCATAGACACAGCCGGGGCCACCGCCGTGGAAGCATTCCGGAAGTCGGAGTCTTTCATTCGCGACCTCGGTGAACTCACTCGGCCGAGCTTCATGTTCGGGTATACGTCGGCCATTAATGATGCGGCACCCTTTCTTCTCTCTGAGCAGCTGGAGTCCTTCCAGAGTGCCTCACACTACAATGAGGATGCCAAGGAATTATGCGACCGCGTGGGTGAGGACATCCGGACTGGAAAGGACCTGGCTGAGGTCCGAGCTGAATTCAACAAGTGGCTCCAGGAATTCGAGCTGGATGGTGATAGTGCCGAAGGAGACCAGGCCGGTGGAGGAGATGAAGAACAGCAGGATGCCGAGGCAGGCGGCGAGACCACGGGGGGCCAGAACCCCTGAGGTCCGAGCTGAATTCAACAAGTGGCTCCAGGAATTCGAGCTGGATGATGATAGTGCCGAAGGAGACCAGGCCGGTGGAGGAGATGAAGAACAGCAGGATGCCGAGGCAGGCGGCGAGACCACGGGGGGCCAGAACCCCGGAGGAGGAGATGCTTAGAAGCGTCTATTTTTGTAATAGATGGGCCGAGGTCGTAGATAACCTCGGCCATTAGCTCTTGTAATTGGGGGTCGAGGTCATGAATGATCTCGGTCTTTTGCTTTTCGAACTTCAATAAAGTTGGCCTTTTTCAGTCTTGCATATTTTTGCCATTTTTCTTCAATTGAGTTCAGTTTTTCTTTTTGACTACTTCTTTGTCCCCTTATTTTTCACTTAGGATAAAATGAGAATAAGTGAGAAATAACTTTAAGAAGTAATGAGATATAAAAATACGTACCTCTCAAGGGTAATACAACTTAAGATTCTCAGCATGCCAGGTTCGGGGCACCCGCGAACCATCTCGGTAGGCTAGTTTTCAATATCCGTTTTGGCTGGACTCAACAACACGATATGGTCCTTCCCATTTTGGGTTGAGTTTTCCCTGAGGCTCAGCTCGGCTAACCGAGTTCTTCCGGAGCACAAGGTCTCCCGGATTGAATCTTAAATTCTTGACCCGAGCATTGTAATAGCCAGTTAGGATATTTTTGTAGATCGCAACTTTGGCCGCGGCCATATCACGCTTCTCTTCGGCGAGATCGAGGTCAACTCGCCGCTCTTCTTCATTGACTTCGGCAGCATACGCAGCCATTCGCGGGTTGGGTGTGATGAACTCGGCCGGAACGACGGCCTCAGACCCATAAGTTAGGAAAAACGGCGTTTCTTGAGTTGCTGACCTCGGCGTAGTCCGGTAGGACCACAGCACGCTGGGGAGCTCTTCCATCCATGACGATCCAACCCGGTGAAGCCTGGTCTTGAGGCCATGGAGGAGAGTTCGATTGAAGTTTTCGGCTTGTCCATTCGCCTGAGGGTGCCCCACCGAGGTGAAGTGTTGCTTAATTCCCAAGTTCTCGCACCATGCCTTGAAAGGGTTATCAGCGAACTGCCTTCCATTATCCGAGATCACCACTCGAGGTAATCCGAAGCGACAGATCACGTTTTTCCAGAAAAATTTTTGGACAGCCATTCCAGTGATGCTTCTCAGGGGCTCAGCCTCGACCCATTTAGTGAAGTAGTCCACCGCCACCACCACGTAGGCATAGTTGCCTTGGGCCCTGGGGAATGTACCGATTATGTCAGTCCCCCATTGCTCGAATGGCCATGGTGAGGTGATGGGGATCATAAGGTTAGTGGGTTGGTGGTGCTCAGGGGCATGGTGTTGACAAGAAGGACAACAAAGGACCATGACCTGGGCATCTACCCTCATGGTGGGCCAAAAGTACCCGAGGAGCAGAGCTTTCTTCACGAGCATCCTAAAGCCGACGTGGGCACCACAGAGTCCCTCATGAATGTCCTCGAGGATTCTCTCGTCTTCTTCCGGGGTGATACATCGTAGCCAGGGGCCGAGATAGGACCTCTTGTACAAGAGACCTTGCCGGAGGGTGTACCGAGCTGCTTTTCGTTGGAGCTTCCGTGATTCAGCTCGGTCTTCCGGGAGTTCACCCCGGCTGAGATACCGGGTAAGGGGCCCCATCCAGGTGTCCCCAGGGTAGACAGGGTACACGACCTCAGTTAAATATCCCGGCTCAGCTAAGACCTCTACGAGAACCGTTTTGTTCAGATCGGAGAAAGAGGTGGAAGAAAGCCGGGAGAGGGCGTCAGCCCTTCGGTTTTGTGACCGCGGTATCCTTTGAATTTCAAAAGACTCGAAGTGTGTGGCCAGCTGGAGTACCTTGGAGAGGTAACGCTGCACCACCTCTTCCCTGGTCTCGTATTCGCCTAGTATTTGGCACACGACGAGTTGGGAGTCGCTATAGACCATAATATGTGCGGCCCCGAGCTTACAAGCTATTTGCAGACCGACAATGACTGCTTCGTATTCGGCTTCATTATTGGAAGCGGCAAAATCGAACCTCAAGGCATATGAACATATCTCTCCTTGGGGGTCTTCGAGGAGCAAACCGGCTCCACTGCCCTCACTGTTGGACGAGCCATCCACATGCAAGGTCCATCGCTGAGGCTCTGGGGTGGCCAGGGTGACATCCTGGGTTGTAGCCGGGATAGTCTCCTTGACTTCCTCAAAAGTAAGCTCGGGAAGGAAATCCGCGAGAGCCTGGGCTTTAATTGCCGTGCGAGGCTTATAGGATAAGTCATACTCACCCAACTCGATGGCCCACTTGGTGAGGCGTCCTGAGGCCTCCGGTCGCGATAGGACCTGCCGAAGTGGTTGGTCCGTCCTCAGGCAGACGTGGTGAGCTAAGAAGTAGGGCTTAAGCCTTCGAGCTGCATGAATCAAGGCCAGCACAAGTTTCTCCGCCTGAGTGTACCTCGTCTCCGGCCCTCGGAGAACTCGGCTGACATAATAAACGGGTGTTTGGACACCTTCCTCCCTTATCAGTACGGCACTCACAGCTTCGGCCGCAGCAGACAGGTACAAGAATAACTTGTCCCCTGGGCGAGGTGAAGTGAGAGTTGGGAGGTAGTTGAGGTAATCCTTTAACTGCTCAAATGCCTGTTGACACTCTTCCGTCCAGGAGAATTTATCAGCTTTCTTAAGGACTTTGAAAAATGGCAACGCCCTGGAGGCTGACTGCGATAAGAACCGATTCAGGGCTGCCAACCGCCCCGTCAGCCTCTGGACGTCGCGGACACACCGTGGTGGGGACATCTCTTGGATTGCCCTAACTTTGTCCGGATTTGCTTCAATACCCCGCCTAGAGACGAGGTAGCCCAGGAACTTTCCCGAAGTGACCCCGAGAACACATTTCTTGGGGTTCAGCATCATTCGTGTCTCCCGCAGGACTTCCAGGACTTCTTTCAGGTCAGCAAGGAATATGGAGGTTGTCTGGCTCTTCAAAAGGACATTATCTACGTAGGCCTAGACAGTCCGACCGATTTGAGATTTAAAGGCTTGGTTGACCAAGCGTTGATATGTGGCCCCGGCGTTCTTTAGTCCGAAAGGCATGGTGGTGTAGCAATATGTGCCTTTGTCAGTGTAGAAGGCGGTCTTTTCCTGATCCTCCGGACTCATCCCGATCTGGTGGTACCCTTTAAAAGCGTCAAAAAAGCAGAGGACTTCATATCCCATTGCCGAGTCTACCAAAGTGTCGACCTTAGGCAATGGGTAGCAATCCTTGGGGCAAGCCTTGTTGAGGTCGGTGAAGTCGACGCACATTCTCCAGGTCCCGGTGTCCTTCTTCACCATGACCGGGTTGGACAACCAGGTCGGATATTGGACCTCCCGGATGATCTTTGCAGGGAGGAGCTTATCCACTTCTTCGCCCACAGCTCGGCTACGCTCAGGGCCGAGGTGCCTCCTTTTTTGTTTGACCGGGCGGACTTGGGGATCGACATTCAGCTCATGTATCATGAGGTGATGCGGAACTCCTCGAACCTCCTCCGCGGCCAACGTGAAGACGTCCCGGTACTTTCTGAGGAGGTCTGTCATGCCTCTTTTAACAGGATCGGGCAGTCGGGTACCAACGCGAACTGTCTGATCAGGCTTCGTGGGGTCCAGAGGGAGTTCTTCCACCTCATCCCCAGTCTCCAGCCTTGGGATCTTCTCAGCTCGCTGAGGATCAATGCTATCTATTGAGAGGATATTTGACCTCTTCTCGGACCTTGCCCCGGAGGTTGATGGGGAGGCTGCTTGCAGAGTGGCGAGGTAACATTCTCGGGCAGCGCAGACATCGCTGCTGACCTCGGCCACCCCCGCAGAAGTAGGAAACTTGAAGCTTAAGTGGTAGGTGGAGTACACTGCCCGCAAAGCATTAAGTGTAGGTCGGCCGAGTAGTAAGTTATACGGGGAGTCAGCTTTGACTACTGCGAAATTGACGGGAATGGTTCTGCTGCGGGGGTGACGCCCTATAGTCACCGTCAAAGTCACCATCCCTTCGGGGTGCACAATGTGTCCCCCGAACCTGACAAGAGGGGTTCTCACCGGGGTCATGCACTCCCTGGCCAGTTTAAGGCTTTCAAAGGTGCGGAGGTACATGACGTCAACGGAGCTCCCCGAGTCAATGTAGACCTTTTTCACGATGTAGTTATTGGCGAGGACCTCGATCACCAAGGCCTCGTGACTGCTGGAGGCAGCCGGGACTGGATCACTAGGCCCGTAAGTGATCACCTCGGATAGGCGAGCACTTGTCTCGGCCTGATCCGGGTTGGTTTGCCTGTAGGTCCTCTTTCGGGAGTTCTGACTGTCTCCTCCCGTCGGACCTCCAGCAATTGTGTTGATGACCCCGGCAATGTTGGATCCATACCCCAGCCCATGGCCTGGGGATCCGTCTCGGGGAGGCCTTTTTGTCTCCCTAGGATCTTCCGGGGGCCTACAACTGCTTCTTGATGTCCGCCTTTCATCCCGGCGTGGGTCACCCCGGTGGTCACGTCGGGGTTCATTTCGTGGCTGTCCGCCACTTCGGCGGATGAACTGCTTCAGGTGGCCCTGTCTGATGAGGTTCTCGATCTCTTTTTTGAGATCGTTGCAGTCCTCAGTTTCGTGCCCGATGTCCCGGTGGTACAGGCAGTAGAGGTTCGAGTTCCTCTTGTCTTTGTTGCCGAACATCTTGGGAGGGGCCCTCCCGAGGTTGTTCTGCTCCATTACAGACAGTACGCGAGATCGGGAAGTGTTTAAGGGAGTCAGTTCGGATTCAGGAATATGTGACTTTCCCTTTGAGATCCTGTCGAACACACTCCGGCGATCTCGGCCGGGACTCTGGAAGCCAGTTCCTGTCCCCGATTCACTTCGGCTAGGCTCCTTCCCTCTTCGGGCGTCAGTCCTCGGGCGAGCAGCTTGGACTTCTTTTTTCATACGGTTGAGGTCCTCGGCCTGTATGCCCTTCTCGACCTTCAACCATAATTCGTGAAGTGAACGGGGATACTTCTTATGGATCCCCGTGTTGAATACCCCGGCAACGAGCCCGTGGGTGAAAGCGGCAATGGTGACCTGCTCATTAGGGTTAGGTATCTGCACGCTTTCTTCGTGGAACCTCTGGACATACGACCGAAGTGATTCCCCCGGGTTCTGCTGCATGTTCAACAGATAAGCCGAGGTCCGGGTCGTCGGTCGGGAGGAAACAAAACGGTGAAGAAACTTCTCCACTAATTCCCCCAGGGTTGAAATGCTCCTAGGTTCTAGACCCCAGAACCATTTTCGAGCTGTTCCCTGGAGGAATACCGGGAAAGCCCGGCATATGACGGGATCAGGGATGCAATATAGGCGGAAGGCCGAGATGAAGGCATGAATGTGGTCTTCCGGATCACCTCGGCCGTCATAAGACGGTATCGAGGGAAGCTTGAAGTTGGGAGGGAGTCTCTCCTCGTTGATGTCATCGGTGAAGGGTGGAGCCCTCTGGTAATCCACCCCGGCTCTCTCAGTGGGCCGAGGTTCCTCAGGTCGTCGGCCCAAAAGCCCTCTTGATAGAGACCTGGTCAGGGAGGCTACCTTAGAGGTGGCCTTGGAGAATGCTTTCTTCGACGCACTTCGGCTCAAGCGTCTCCCATCGGACTCTTCTTCAGACGAAACTTCAGGGGATCCGTCCGACTTCCTTTTAGAGGACTCGGCCTTTTGCTTGCCTTGTCTCTTGAAATACCTCCCTAACTCCTCGAAAATGTTAGGATTCTCGGTCACAAACTCGGCCATGCGGGTTATGGCTTCTTCGTTTGCGGGCTGGGTCCTTGGGGATTCCTGCCCTTCAGAGATACCTTCTTGCTGAGCTACATTACTCTGCTCAGCCCCAATAGCGAGAGCTTTCCTGCTCCTAGAACGCGTAGGCTTCATTCTCTGATGTCTTTGTGTTCCCACAGACGGCGCCAATTGAAGAGGTCGTTTTTGTCCTGCTGGAGTGAGTCACCCGAGCTGGAGAAGGCCTCTTATCCTGGGTGGTTATCTCAGACGAGGTAACCTGCTTAAATTGTAGGAGGGACTAGAGTCCCCGGTGTAACTCCGAATCTTAAGTCAGTTCGGGAATGAAAGAGTAATGAGTAGAGAAGACTAATACGCCTTTACCAGAATTTTGGTCGTCCCCTTTCTCAGTGGAGGCGTTGAGTATTTATAGGGGTCAGATAGGAGAGAGGGACTGCTTGCACAGGTCCCCAGAGATCCGGCAGTGTCAGTATATCAAGGTGAGTTAATGGACTCTGCGGAAAGGTGCGCCGGAACAGTTGTGTCAGGCGGCGCATGTCAGAGCAGCTTTAACAGAAGTGTCAGAGGTGTCAGACGTGTCAGAGGTCGACTCCGGTTGCCAGGTCATTATACTTGACCTCGGCTGGCTGAGTGAAAGCCTTGGCCGAGGCAATAATTAGGCCGAAGTCAAGGCTCGATGGTGGGAGGCCGAAGCAGTCGGAACAGCTCTAACCGAGCTGGAAATACCCACCTCAGTCAGCCAAAGGCCACCAAGCTTTCACGTTGTTGAAATTTTTTTTGCTTCTTTTGGCCGCGGGGGAGGGGGCATGTTTGTGGGCGAGCGGGGGGGACTGGTGGGAATTACAGGGGCCGGGGGAGCTCGGCTAAGGATTTACCATCCGGATGACAAAGACGATAAAGTATCGATAAGTCTAAGACCACACATTCGCCAGAAACTACAAGAAGCGGTAGAAACTAGCCGACACAATTGATTCATATACGATGCGAACGTGGCATTTACACACCCGGGTGCTGTGTCAGGGACCCACATGACCAAAAATAGTGGAGTAATAAAAGACAGCTATTTGGGGTTGGTAAACTTCATTTGGTCCTTTGAAGTTTGAACTCCAAAACTTTAATTCGGTCAGTCAAATTGGAAAAGTTCAATTTGGTCCTTTGACATACTCTAGTACTATTTAGATTGCTTAATAGGAATTTGGATATGTAATACATTAATTATTAAAATATATTTTAAATATTAGAATAATTATTAGTTTACAAATGTAAATACTTCCTAAATAATTTTAACTGCTAGATAGATTTGAAAAGATTTCAAATCATTTGTCAAATCCCTTAATTCAAACAAGTATCAATTTGGTCCCTAACATAAAATCTCAATTTGAAGCATGGAACTAAATAATTCAGGTTAGTCTCATAAAAGTGAGAAATTTTTTCAATTTGGTCTTTTAAATCTATTATGTTAAAAAATATGGGTAAATATGTCTTGTACTGACTATATATACAAACTATTGGGTCTAGATACATATCGTGCATATTAAATGTGAAACTCAAATTCAAGTTATGATGCTCTAATATATTTTGCCAGTGTAGCAATTCATCTGAAAAATATTATATCATTAAATTATAGACAAATGTTATGTTTGTCATCTTATGAAACATGTGCTCGCCTTAGTGATTTACATAATAAAAATGTATTAGTTTACTCATAGAGAATCAAATTATGACACTACATTATTTAACTAATTCGAAATTCCGAAATATTTTGAGATAAAATCAGAAGAAAGAGTCAAAAGAGCACAATTTTCTCGTCGAAAAATAAAGGTCGGTTTGCTTATTTTTCTTACTGAAAAATAAGGACTAAAAGTAAAATTTATTGTTTAAAATTAATAGGCATACAACCTCCCATTGATTAACATCTATCTAAAAATTTTGTCATATAAACAAAAGAGTAAATTATGTCATTTATAATTCTATTTGAAACAAAAAATGGAAATAAAGTGTTACTTAAAAACATTAATGAACTAACTAAGAATATATGGTTAATTTACCAGTCGGGATGTCCGTACTAGTTGAGTACTAATTTTATTAAATTCAGTATTATTTAGTTTTTTTTACAATCAAATAAATTTAAAAAAGTTAAAAGTCTGTCGTGTTTGGTTAAATCGATTGATCAATAAATCGAAAACTTATTTAGTTCATTTATCGATCTTGATGTAAAAATATTGAGTTGAAGCCAATTAGTGGTTGAATTTTATATTTCTCATCTCGTGGTCATGCTTGTATTAGAAACCTCTAAAACATATTAAAAATCCTTTCCTTACTTTGTTATATTTTTCTTTTTTATTATTGTTTCCTTTTGTTCTTCACAAAACTCCCTCATCTTGGCCAATTTAGTTTAGGTGCTGAATTACTTTAATTTTTCTTTGCCTTTGCCTCCAATTTTTACAAGTTTGTGCTCTCACTCATATAAACAAAATACTCCGTGAGAATTTTTATAATATTCCAATTCATTTTTTTAACAATTTTTTAGTATAAATAGGACGGATCGAATCCAAAACCTTTCACTTACACTCTCTTCTCCAAACCAATTATCTATATATATATATATATATATATATGTTGAACTAATTGATAGACCAACTGGGGTTGGGCCAAGTGGTAAGCAGCTTGGTTCCGCTTAAGCAGGTCTCGGGCTCGAAACCTGACGTATGCAGCTATCCTTGTTGGGAGACTCACCCACCACAGCCAGGTGTGCGACCGGGCAAAGCTCTGGATACCGTGGCAGGCAACAAAAAAAAAAAGAACTAATTGATAGACTCGTACACTTAAGTAACTAAAGTAGATATGATTTTTAAATGCTGCTAAAATTTGATTTTTAAGAGATGGATAAAGGAAAAAAGGAAATAAGTTGCGTGGAGACAAAATGAAAATTTAGTGGAGAGAAAATGCATTGGAAAAAAAAAAAAGTAAAGCGGGTAGAAATAAAATGGATGTGCAACAAAAAAGAAAAAGAAATGGAAGAATGAAAAATGAGTCAAGAGTACAGAATATTTACTATAGATCAAGAAGAGTATTTGATCAAAAAACTTGAAACGGGGCCAAAGTGCCTAATTGAAAAATTATCACAGGCAAAGTGCAACTCCATCATAGGGTTCACTATAATATAATTAACCTACCTGTGCATTACCACACCTGAAATGCCACATTGCTCTGTACATTGTGCTTGAATAACATGACACATTTAGGCGTGATTTGATTTTCTTAAATTGCTTCCACCTGCCTTTCGAAATTTTTAGGAAGAAACTATTTTGGCTTAGAAAAGCCGCCGCGTAGGGCCTATAATGTGAGCTCATGAACTTGCAAGCAAGGAATAGAAGTTAATATCCGTCAGATCTTCACCTAGCTGTACATCCTCTGTGGTTTAACAAAGAAAGTTTGCATGAGTATACAATTCAAGAAGAAGAATCAACCGCCACTCCCTCATCAGGAGGCTGTGAACTCACAGCAGTCTTTTCCAATTCCATTGCTATGACCTCCTCCAATGGCTTATTGTTGTTCTCCACATTGTCAATTTTCAATCGCTGAAAACCAAGAAAAATAAAACATTTAGCCTGTAGCAAACTGCAACCAAAAAAAAGAGTCCCCCTAAGCTTGTATAATCTTTTATTTTCTGGAGGCCTTCCACTTCTCGAGTTTTCAGCCTCTTTACCTTCAAACCAAACAATAATTATCTTTTGCGCATTTTTAGGATTAACATGACTATCAATTTAGCCATCACACTATGCTATTTTATTTCTGTGTACATTTTTTTTTTCTGTGGGGGGTATAACTTGACACCTGTAAAATGAAATTCATTCCGTATAGGTTTCTTTCATTTTGTCCTTTCATTCTCATCCCTCTCACACCAGCCCCCTTTGTCTGGGTCCTGCAATTATCTACTTCTTCCTCCCTCTTTCTTGTCTAGGTAATAGCAAATTGAAGAGGATTAAAACACGAGGTCACCTGCATCCTGTGCAAGTAATAAGTTGAACTAGAGGCAGGCAGCAAGAACAAACCTTTGTTGCTGTAGATCCATCCTTTGTCATGCGGGAAAACATGGTTGTATAGATTTGTGCGTCACTCTTGTTGCTCTCAGCTCGCAGTTGTTTCAAACTCTTCTGTAGCAGCTTCACTTCCCTGAGAATAAAAGTATTACCGAAAAAGGAGTAAAAGTTAATCAGAAAATTGCAGAATAAATATTTGAATCGATGAACTCATCAAACCAGGTTCATTAGTAAAACAGATGACACAGAAATTAAGTTACACAAGGTAACAATCCAAAAATGGACAGGTTTTCTAGGCAACAGGCAAAAACAGGTATACCTGTTCTGAGGTTCAGTTTCCAGTGCTTTCTTGATGTCCAATTCAGCCAAGTGTAAATCAGCGGTTTCCATATAAGCTTGAGCTCGCCTGTATAAAGCTTTCACATTGGAGGACTCAACATCAAGGACCTAATTAATTACCAATAATAGTTTAATATTTTGTATGCACACCCTTTAACAAACTAATGTTTTGTTCTATTGCCAAAAAAAAAAATTAACTATACCGTAGAAGGCAGATATATGCATTTATCTGCACATATTCTCAATAAGAAAAGGAACCATGAGAACTCATACATAATACCCAAATCATTTCATCCATAGTTTCCACAAAATTTAACTGCTGGATGAGTTAAAGGATTAGAGCTATTTGTTCCTATCTTGATTAACACCCATAAAATGCTGTTTCATTGTTCATACGCAGGAACTTGGCAGGAGATATGAAAAAGAAAATAATGACATAAAAGAAAACAGGTGCCTTTTGCCTCATTTACTTCACCTTTGAGCATAAATTTACAGCTCTGTGGAAGTCAAGTAGTTTGAGACAACAAGCAGCAGTATTCAACCAACATGAGACTCTTAATGACTCGACCAGCTTTAGATCATCATCACCAAATGGTATATCTCCACTGACAAAGTCCAAAGCCTGGAAGTGAAAAACAAAGCATGTGATTTGAAGTTTCACAAAGAAAGGCCAAGTAACATTCACATTCCTGAAAGAGAAATCATTCACCAAGACACCTTATCATATTTCTTTCCAGCTCTACGGTACTTTCC